GCCCGGCCGTTTTGGTCGCCACGCCGCCTCCAGCCCGGCTTGAGGCAGCTGGCACCGCCCGGCGCGGGGCTGGTCCCCGCAGGGCGGGCGCTGGGAGGCCACGAGCCGGGCTCGAGCAGACGGCCCTGGAGACACCGTGGTTTTTCAGCGCTCCGGCCAAAAAATGTTGCCTGCCCCTGGTCTGGATGTCAGGTGCCGAAGGAATGGCGTGGTAAAGAAATATGGAGAATATTATAATACAATTATTTAAAGACAAATGACTGGGGTGCAAAAGTAAACAATAAGGAGATGGGCTCATCCCAAAGTAAATGCCTGCGGGTGAACCTTGGAGTGCATTGAACAGGATTTTTTATAACACCAGAAAATGTAAATAATGCAAAGCGGCTTAAAGCATCCAGCGTGGCAAGATGACGAGCACGGGCGCGCCGTCAGAACGCCCCCAAGATGAATCCGTGCCCAAGCACAGCACGTCTGCCCACGAGAAGAGGGCGCAGAAGCAAAGCCCATCAGCGTGGCACTTCAGAGCAGAGCAGAGCAGCCCACGACTGGAATAAACAAATGAAGCTGATGGCCGCTGTGTGCAACTTGGGGGTTGGGAGGATCCAAGAAAGAAAGAAAATACATGTCTTGTATCTCAAGAGGGCTATTTATTGCAGAACTAGGCGGGAGTTCAGAGCACTTCCGGTAAGGTTTGCGAAGCGTCTCACAGGGGGTGACTACAGGTCTAGACTCTATCGAAGCGTAGAAATTAAGGGGTGGAAGGGACCTCAAAGGTCATCGAGTCCAACGTCTGCACTGATTCCACGGCGCTCTCGGGGAGGGATGCCTGCGCACCTCCAGTCACACACCCCAACAGTGAAGCGACTCCTGAGACATCACGCTGTGGTTGCTCATGAGACCTCTGTGCTTGAAACCAGCGCAAGGGGGAAGAGTCATGGAGGCCAAAGCCTTCCTGCTCAGAAGGGAGCAGAACACTGACCTGCACGTTGAGAGCACCCACACTTGTCATTGCGGGTGATAGAAGTTGTGACGAGGATGCCAGACCCCATTTCTTGGAGCCCAGGAGACGAGCAGGACCCTGAACGTGGAGCAGAGCGTCTCGCGTCTGCTCTGCCCAGGTTCTTGCCCTGTCCTCTGAAGCAGCCAAGCAGGTGCTGATTAGCTGGACCGAAGCACCGGTTCAACCTGGTGATTTCTCTGTGAAGACCAGTAGGCTTTGTGTTATTTCAGCAAGCTACATCCCTGCTGCTTGCAAGGATTATGGAAGAGTCATAAATGAGCTTGACCTGTGCTGCCAGGAGGTCCTAGCTCTGGCTTTCTGCTGCATGTACATGCAGGCACGTGCACTGCTGTCCAGTGTCCAGACACCCCTCCCCTTGCTGTCGCTGCATAGGCCCTCCCAGATCTGATCTGCCTCACTCGAATAAGCACAGAAAGCAGGCCTGCTTTTACACAGAGACTTCACAGAGCAGCAGCACATCTTCACTAAGCAATTCACAACATCAGGGTGTTAGAAAAACCCATAGGTCAGAGGCGGGTTGGGCTGTTCAGCAGAGCAGTGTTACCAGGGGCTGGATGCTTTTCTCAGTAGCCATAAACTGAATGCTTTTATACGATTATGAAATCACTTCACTTTGGTACACTTGGAGCAATCCCTTCCTGGGATCCCAAAGCTTAAGAGCGTGGTAAAGCGGTGTAGAAATAAGGGTTTGGTGTTGGAACAGGCAAAGTTCAGTATCATAACTGCTTGTTTTGAACTGAAAATGCATCTCCACTCTATGAGATAACAAGGAGATAGTCAAGGATGGGTTCAAAGGGGAAGGACCCTGAAAAACAGGGGAGAGAGGGAACAACAGCGAGTCTAGACAAGTCTGAGTAGGTTTCCAAATTGCTTGGCTTTGCTTAACTTTGCCTCTGTTGCAATAAGAGGGTCTAGTTTTGACTGTGTGTTCTGTGAAAATCACAACTTATTTTAAAGCTAATCGGACCCTGTTTTTAAGAAAGGTCATTTATGGTTTCTCTCTGTGACCTCTCTGAGATCTGCCAGGACTACAGGACATCTTCCCAAGCACTTAGTCTGCATCACTGAGGTATGTGAACCCCTCCAAGCCACTAGTGCATTTCTTATGCTCACAAGAGGCCTGTGAGCTAGGGAGAGCTCTTACCTCCATTCTGCCCAGAAGAAGCTGAGGAGCAGAGCAGTGAAGAGACTTGCCCATGGTCCCGTGATGAGCTGGGGGCAGAGCCAGGTACCAAACTCCAGGTGTCCACCCCCTCCCCATGGCTTTCCCAAGTAATACAAGCAATTCTTCAAGCCACATGCAGGCACAAACCCTATCGGTGCATGGGCAATGGTCCCCTGGCTCTTCTCACCTGGAAGCAGAGACCCTGGTGTGCAGTATGTCCAAGGCTCAGGAGAACAGACCCTGCCGTAGCAGGCATCACCCTCTTATTTTCCGCTTCTCATTACATAAGGAACAATTTATTTTGTCACATCGTAGGTCAGGGAGTGCCCCTTGCAGAAGCACAGGAGCCAAGAAGGAAAAGACCTGTTGGGCAATATCTCGTCCATACCAGATGGGTTCAGGACAATCCCCCTCCCTTCAGCATCCAGGACTTTAAGGATGGCACCTCCACTTCCTCTGATGGTGGTATCTCTCCTCTGCAACTCAGGCCTTGCTCTTGCTCTTGGTCTTGCTCTCCCTCTTGCTCTGGACATCTGCACGCACCAGACATACTGGAGAGTCCCCCAGTGGGACACCTACTGAACTGCCAATGCCTGTAGGACCCAGCTCTGCGGCTACTTCCTACAACCGAGCTGCTTCTAATCAATCTGTTCGTTACTAGCGAGTAGGGGTGTGGCAGATGGTATCGGCAAGCTGTTTCTGTTGTATGCAACTTCCTGCATTTCTGCCACTCTTCACACAGATAAGAGCCATGTCTAGGTGCTTTGCTTTGCTTTCTTTCCCCACTTCCCCTCCCCTCCGTGGTGGCTCGCAGCTGCGTAGCTCCAATCTCTGATGAGAGCTGCTGAATCAAACTCACATGCAGTCCAGTCATCTTCAAATAGATCTTCCCTTATTTTACTCAGCTGAACCTGGCTCTTCTTGTCTGCTGATAAGGGAGCTGAGTCCCATTGACTATGCTGATTCTTGTTCCTTTTGCCCAGCTCCAAAATAGAGTGGCTGTTGAGCTACTGTGTCTTTGGGAACTGACCTGTTTTCGGACCAGAGAGCCCAAGGGCAGTGGCGAAGATCTAAAACTGCACCTCTTTCTGCAGAGAAGAGGTCTTGGTGTCTCGTGATGGGTAGAGATGGCCAGGATTAGCTCCATGGTCTCACTTGCACACTGGCCAGCTCCAGCCTCACACTGGTCTGAGTCAGTGCAAACAAGATCAGAGTCATCCCTGTATGTTTAATTCACATCTCCCTTTTGTCCTTCAGATGGTGGGTTGTTTGTATCTGCACTTTGCTTTGAGCCCAGTCAGAGCTTCAGATCCTCTCTCTTGCAAAAGCAACAACGCTCACTGTAGGCGGAGGATGGACGTAGTTTATTTGATCACCGGTATCTACTCTTCTTGGTTCTGAACTTGGACATTAGCCATGGTCTGATCCTTACTGCCACCGTCTGTACTGCCATTGTACTTCTACATCTATCAGCAAAAAGAAAAACTAGGCACATGAGCAGCTGGCTGTATGCTGTCTGGGACAGGTGATGGAACAGGTCAACAGGGTGCGGGACACTCGTATTCTAGAAACTGCTTCTTGGACAGGAGACCGAGAACATTGGTGAAAGCCCCTCTGCAGCCGTAGGGGCTGTAATGTCCTTACTGCTTTCCCTAGGGCTGTATTGTCTGGCATTGCTAGCTGACAGAGCACAGCTGTAGCGTTGCAGCTTCAGTCTACAGAGCTAGAGAACACTGTGGCTAGGTGTCCCGCTGGCTCAATCGGCCGTTGAAGTTTCTTGCTGCATAACTACCGTACTAGAGAGAATGAAATGGGGGGGGGGAAGGGAGTTCTCCGTCAAAGAAAGGGAGTATTACCTAAAGTTTAGAGCATAGGATGGCTTGTTTAGGACTTCTGGTTATCCATAAAGAGACAATGCTGCTAAGAGGGCAGGCTGAACATTTATGCAGTACTATGTGGTATTTGCAGTGTTTCATAAAGACCTGGTAATACACATTCTGTATTTCTACATGCCCCATTAAATAACTCTAAAATGATATAGCATGGAAAATATTCCACACAGAGGGGACAAATGCAGAAAAGATGACAAAAAGCCACAGGTATACAAGTAAGAGCAATTCTTCTCTATCACTTTATGCTCTTTTCCCCAGGGTCTCTGTACTGGTATAAAATTAATAATATCCCTTTGAAGTGCAGCTGTTATGTTAGGCTGCTGGCACTTCAAAGAGAGCAGCACAAGTTCTGCCTGATGTTGCAGGTGCATGAGGCAGTATCAGTTAGCTGCAGCTGACTTGAGATGCGTCTTCCAGGGCAAATACAAAATTTTTAAACTAGTTCATGGGGAAACCTAGGTATTTTGAACTTTCTAAAACTAATTTTGGTTCAGCTGTTCTAGAGATCAGCAAATCCAGCTGCTTCTACATTTTAGACTTTTGCAGCCTACATACAATGAAAAAATGATCAACTGTCCCTCCTTTACTGCAGCAATAATTAGCCATTTGTTTTCACGTTGAATACGAGTCAGAATTCACATAGCCCTGTATGCTCTATAGGTAGGTTCATTTTTGTGATTAGGTCTCAGTTGTGTTACTTCAGTTTTGCGTTTGCTGTTTACACATACACACATCAGTCCTATGGAGAGCGATGCTCCTCAGCATTTGGGGAGGAAGGCTGATGCTCAGAGAGGTGTGGCAAGTGGTCTGCAGTCACCCCCAAGGGAAGGGGCAAAGCAGCAATTGAAACCCAGGTTTCCCCAGGTTCTAGTCCAGTGCTGTATCCTGCTGCAGGCACCAGCCCACTGGATGAGCTGACACCTCATTTACCAAATGTTAGGGTAAGTCTACGCTGTAGTGGCAGCATGTCCCCACTGTGCCATCCCTGCTCTCTCACCCCGCCATCCGGGTTATAAAGTGTATCACCTGTTGGACCAGATGAAAGGACCTTTGTGGTCCTTTCCAGTGCTGATTCAGTGTTTCTGGACAAGGGTCTCCAAGTTCTGATCTCCCTGATACTGGCATAAACCAGTAGCAAGGCCATTGAAGTTGATGGGATTAGGCTGATGTAAAGTCAGCAGGAGACTACAGGCACACCCTCTCTGCCTTGCACATGGGGGTGGTGTTTATACCTGTGCTCACGGGCTGCAAAATACTGCTGCTGGTATTAGGGAGTGGAGAATTTGGGTCCTGGTAAAACTTTATACCCAGGGTGCAGGGTGCAAGGCACGGGAGAATTGAAAGTTAGGTCTTTAATATGGCCCCGGTTTGGTCATCCCAGATCATAGCCAATATGTCTATTAGAAATATGCAGTCTGATATCTGTATTTTAATGGGCTTCTGTGGCATTGCAAAAGGCCAAGATATTACAGTAAGTATCCACTCTCCGTATACTGTTGTCTTCTCCTGCACAGGTTGAAGGAAAAGCGGTGCTAATAACGGGCTGCGACAAGGGGTTTGGACATGCCTTGGCAAAGCAGCTTCATGCAAAGGGATTCACAGTTTTTGCTGGATGTTTGCAGACGGTAAGTACTATGCTAAGAAAGGTCTCTTGGTGATTGAAGGGGGCACGTTTTAAAGTGATAGTGATATGTCATATCAACACAGCTAGAGATGGGAAAGCCCTAAAAGTTCCTGTCATTCAGGACTGCCCGTCTGCTCTGTTACCAATAGAATTATTTTTGCCAGAGCCCCACCCAAGGATTGATACGGCAACTCATCTGATGTGGTATCAAGTGAACTGTAATACTAACCCCTAGGCAATATTACAGGTTTCCTTCCCGTAGTACGACCTGGCAAGTGGCTTCTTAGATGTTACAGTGCTGCCCATCAAGGGTACCAGGCCTCAGGTCCTCCACGGGGTGTGTGAGATCTTGGTTTCTGGCTCCCAGCTGTTCAAGCAGGGACCCAGCAGCCGTGTCTGTCCTCCCAGGGACACCTTCCTTTATTTGTCCATCACTTATATAACTTTTCTCATCCCAAATTGTCCAATCCCCTGGCACTGTGCCAAGCACATTCTTTATATGGGGACAGTCGTGCTTTGCTCCCCTAGTGCCAGTCACAGCACTCCCATCTCCCAGGGCCACAGAAGGTGCTCTGTTCAGTTTTGTTGCTTAGTTCCGGGAAGGCCTAGACCAGGACTAAAAAGCCTGAGCATATCCCAGTTTGCCCGCTACATGCTCCACTCTTGAAGGAAGGGTTGGGCTTGCTGGCAGCGCAGACGCAAGGCACCTGTGCCCTTTACACGAATCAAGGGCACAAATAGGTGCTATAAAAGATGGAGCAACCTGCCCATCGGGGAGCACCGAGACTGGAGTAATACCCATCCCTAGCAGCAGCACCATATATCTAGGCACCGACAACCACCAGCTTCCTTTCTTCCTACTGAAACCCCGGGGGCAGGGGTGAGGGGAAGGGAGAGGGAAGAATAAACTTCACCAAGTACTCTGTTTCTTCTGCTTGCTGCATCCTGTAGTGCGGACTGGGAGGTTTTCGGGGCAGACACAGTGTGTGGCACCCATGAGGCCTGTAGGCAACACTGGAACATGCACAGTGGGGTGGACTGATCCAGGGGCTGGCACGCCACCTCTTCCTGTCTCTTCCTCAGGCGTCACCATGCTGACTTCCATGCTGCCTCTTTTCTTTGGGATGCTCTCTCAAACTGATTTCCAGGCATCAGCTCATGCTTCCCTCAGATCCCAGGTGAAACTCTGCTTTTCCTTTTCATACATGGATCCAGGTGCATCTTAACTGTAGTTTGGTTCCTTGCCCCGCTTCAGCTGAGAGGCTGACCAGCCCCTTACTGCCCTCATGGTGAGAGAACTTCTTTCAGCTTCCAGTTTCAGGTTTCTCTCTGACAGTTGATCATGCCCATTTTTTCTCATGCCTGTGTTGTCCTTTCATTTAAATAGCTCTTTTCCCTCTCTCTTATTGCTCCTCCAGTATATTCTAGACAGTCATATCTCATCTCAGCCTTTGTTTTGCTAGGCTGTACAAGCCTCGTGAGAGACTCTCTGTCCCCCTGATCACCCATACGTAGCAGTTCTGATGAGATTGTACTGGTCTCTCACCAGTGTATCAGTACTTTTGTCTCTGTGCTGCAAGTCTCTCTCCTGAAGTGTATCACAGGTTGGCATTTACCTTCTCCACAGCTGCCTAACACTGGTGGTGCAATCTCCTAGTACTTTTCATTCGGCATCCCAATGGAGGGAATAAGAAGCTTGTGATTAGTGCCCAGTGCATGAATTGCTCTCTGTGCTATTGAATTTGATCCTGTTTCTGTTACTCCTAAAACACATCCGTTTTTTTTCTGTATGATGCTCACATCTGCCTCTGCACTGACAACGCCTGCTTGTGCAGTTTGGATTTACCAATAGCAGATAACACAATCCCTTGTTTTGTGCCAGCCATTAATGAAAGTGTTAAATAAGATTAGTGCTATGGCCACTTCTTGAGGAGCTCAGCCAGTGACCCTCCTCCAGCCTGATAACTTCCCTGTTCAAACACTGCCTGTGGCTGTCTGCTTGCTAGCCAGTTGCTTATCAGTCTTACAGTTCTTCTACTAAGCTCCATTTTTAACTCTTAGCTGTAACTTTCTTAACTAGTTATTATCTAGGTCAGTGGTTCTCAACTTCTTTGGATTTGAGGCGCCCCTCACTGGTCTCAAGACACTTGTCCAGCACTCTTTTGAATGGAGTGACATCCAATTTCAAAATGACTTTATATGTTACAGTGCTTACCTCCTTGCAGAGGGGCTGGGCCAGAGGGGTGGGAGATGGTTCAGGCAGGGAAAAGCTTGAGCCTGCACTTGTCTGCTTAGCTAATCTATCACCTCACACCTCACTTTTTTGGAAAGCCTCTTAAGCCGTGCATATTCTCAAGATCAGGCAAATCTGTAGCTGCCCAGATCTACCCCTGCCTCCACTTGACTCAGAGGTGAGGACAGAAAAGGTAATGCATAAATACTGCATATGCATTACGTTTTCTGTCCTCATCTCTGACTCAAGTCTGTCTCTAAAATATTTGCTACAGGATCTGAACTCCCACATGCCAGTCTTTTTAGCTCTCGTCAAAACTTAGGTGGAGTATTCAGCTAGTTCTTGGGCCATTTCTGGATCATTCGTGCCCTAATTTGGCCGTGCTGCAAAACACAATAAGGAAAGCAGTGAGCCTGTATTTATACAGCTGAAGAACCTTTTGCCATTTGTTTGAATATCTCTTGCAAATTTGTAGCCTTTGGTCATTTTGATTTTATCCCTGCAGTTCTTGGCCTCAGAGATTTGGCTTGCTTTGCTGATTCACACTTTTTCGCTCGATTCAGTGCTCCTTCTTTCCTACATGTCCTCCACTCTCTTTGACTGGTATACAGATCCTGATCTAGTTTTTAGCACCTTTGACTTAAAGAAATTTCAGGCCTCATCCATATTCAAGTGCTTTCCCTTCTCAGTCCAGCTAATTTCACTGAATCTTTCTCTCATTTTATTAGGTCGCCCTTTTGGAATAGGCAACCTGAGTTACAGCTCTGCTTTGGTTTATCTTTCCATTTAAATATAAACTGAACCAGCTTGTGGTCATTCAAGCAAAGGATTTTAGTGTCTGAGTAGCCAGCTTTTTGACAGTATCTTCATTACTTTTCAAACCAAGCCTGAAATAGTATCCTTGTCTTGTTGGTTCAGTGACTGTGTGGTTAATAAATATCTGAGCCCTACCACTACTAGTAGCATTTGCTCTTCACTTTATGTGTAAGAAGTTAACGTTTCTGGTATTATTTCCTCTGTCTAACAACTTCACAGAGATCTCCGACCACATGCAGATCTGACCTTGTGTGTTGACAGCACGTTTCCAGTACAGCTTTTTTTTTAATTTAAACTATCTGGCTCCAGGGTGATTTTGACCCAAACTGGCTGTGTTTAATCCGTGCTCTCCCTTATTTCTTTGTGTGTTACTCAGGTGATAGACTTCCATGCTACCATGCCCCCTTGTCTTTTATTTCCATTGTCCTTGAACAGTGCGTGCCCTCCAGTACTTCTGTTCCCATCAGCCTGTTGTTTTCTGTTATCCCTCTTACGTCCTGCTTTGTGTTCTGCACCAGTAATTCAAGTTCCTCCAGTTTGTTGCTCAGGCTCCTGATATTAGAGTACAAACATCACAGTTATCAGGTACTGACCACACCTCCATTTCCTAAGAGTGCTAGGCACTGCTCTGGTCACCAGTATTCGCACCCCCCCCCTTTGCTGTCCACCCATGGACAAGCCTTTATTCATGCTGTGTCCTTCTTTACCTGATTTTCCTCTTCCCATGGAGAGTGGAACAGCCTCCCCAACCCTAGTTTCTGCCTGGTGTCTGGGGAAGAGAGGTCATCAAGCATATTGGCGGTATTTGAATAAGGCAGGGACCTCTGATGCATAAGGGAGAATGTGTGCTGGGCATCTCTGTTGTAAACGTCTTTACCAGTTGCACCTGCAGTGGCATCATATAGGCAGAAATTAGTCACTTAGGACTTGGCAGCTCTTCTTGGGAGCTAAGAAGCAAAAATACACAGCATCCAGCACTGGAATGGCATGCTTTCTGCTCTGCCTCCACTTCCAGACAGCCCTAGGTGGTGGCTCTAATAGAGGAGGGCAGAGGAATGAAAATTACCTACTGGTTTTCCTGGACCAAGAGGAATGTGAATAAAGAGGAACATGTAAACTCAGTTTGGATGCAAAGCTGGAAGTTCTCTTAATAAAGAAGGTAAAAATGAAATCAGCACTGTTGAGTATGCTTGAAGTGCAGTAGAAGACACCATTATTTAAAGCCGAGTATGAAGTGTTGGAAGGGGTTGTTTTAATCTGGGTGTTTGGATTGCTCCCAGGACCACTCGGTACAGAAAAAAAAGTACAGAACGTGCTGGTAGGTAACTGTTCCTGGCTGCCCGATGTTAGCAAAGGTCATGTTCTCTCACCACTGCTGAAAGGAAAAAAATGAGCTAGTCCAGAAATGTCAGCTGGCACTTTTCATAACGAGGCAGAGGCCAGAGAGTCCTGCTGGATAGTTGCCACCTTTTGGAAGTTTCCATGCAATCTGTTAGTGCTCGTGTCATGTGCTGGTCTCGCCAGAGCAGCTCAGATGCTCGCTTTGCAGAGCAGCAGGTGTAAGGGATGGAGTGAGGATGGGACGCAATGTTTACAAGGAGAGCTATTTCAGGAGACTGGCACAGCAGCTCTGGGCATGGAGGGCAGGTGCCAGAGGCGGCCAAATAAGTGAACTGAGTTCACCCCACAGCTAGCCTGACTCAGTTGTTCCCCAGCATCACTCTGCTCATTTCCACCAGCAAGAAATCGATTGTGTCTTGGTCACAAGTGAGATGTGGTCCAGGGTGGTAGTGGCCTGGCAGCTGTTGGCAGGGGCAGAGTCAGGTTCAGCATTTCTCAACATTTCTAGTTTGATAATTCCTTATCCAAAGTAAGAAAGTGCAGTGAACCCCGCTCACACTTTTTCACTTTAATAGTAGGTGCAACAGCACCTGAGCTGTAGTTGTGCTTCA